AAAGAAAGAAAGAAAGAAAGAAAGAAAGAAAGAAAGAAAGAAAGAAATATCTACTCAGGAGAATCAATTCAGTTTAGATCAAGCCTGTGGACAGTTCCTGTTCTTGTTACACATGAATAAAAAGGGTGTTTTCTTCTTTGCACGATTTGTGGGAGAATATTCCATCTCTCAATTGAATATCAAAATTTGGACAAAGGCTGTAGATGCTTACGACAACGATTTTTACAACAGAAAAGTTGCATATCAACACGCGACAATGTGGAGCTTTTGTGGTAGAACTCTGTCCACTGTCAGCACAAATTCTCTTGATTTTAGAGCGACACCCAGTGATGAATGTGAAGAGGTGCAAACAGTTTCAGAAATCAATGGTGTTTCTCCATTTTACAATTGTAAATAAAATATTGTTTATCTGTTAAAATTGCCATTATGTTTTTATATAAGAAACAAACATATATTTGAGACTATGAGTAGGTTGCTAACTTAGGCTGGGTGCCATAAGGCTGTATGGAGCTGCTGTTCAGATGACAGCAATGAGAGAGGCTGTATGTGTTTTAACTGGTTTCCAGAAATCTTTTGTCGACTGCAAGTGTCAAAGTGCATCCAGGTGAAAGCCACGATGTGGGTTTTTCCCAAAGAAAACGGTGTTGATCAGGAGCATCTTCAGCATTTCTCCAGCAGAGGGTGGTAATGATTCACAAAAAGTAGAAGCACATCGTCAGAGAGCTCTCAAAAAGCCCATTTACAACATATAAATTAGACATTTTTGTCTCAGAGCAACAATTAAGCAATCATAATTGTGTTACAATAAAAGCAGTTGACACATAAAAAAGACATGCTTACTTGCTTTAGTAAAATTGGGACAAAATGTCAGTTCATCAGGTATGTTTTTGATGTATTATCCCACCATTCCTGTGAGCAATGTTTTTTTTATTTGATGCCTGTTGTTCCAATAGATCTCAATAGATAGCTTTGAATATTTTTGTTTATCTATTTCTCTACCGCCATCAATATCCTACAACAGATTATAAAACTAGTAGCATTCTGATGCTACTGTGGGACTTGTTTCAGTAGTTTTGAAACAGTATTTTTTTTTATCAACCATTGCTCTCATGGACAGTGTGGTCAGCAGATTATCTGAAACAGAAAAGGCTGCATGGCTACACAAACAGGAGGATTAACACACCAGGAAATAACTAATTTCACTAATGACTCAGGCTTTGCACAGAAGCAGCCATTACATAAATCCTTTTTTACATTTCACTGCTGTACTGCCACTGCACTGCCGTTTTAAAGAACTACACGTCTGTGTCTCTATCGTGTATGTGGCATTGCAATGATGTGACAGCATGGGTAATCTCTGCTAACTCATTATTGTACATTGGATTCAAGAGGTTCAACTTGATCCTCTGGGTTGAATCAAGGCTGATATCTTGGCCTCAGACGTGAGGACAATGCAACACAAGACTGATGAATGAGAAAAACTGAAAAGAACCATAAATGTATAGGAATGGAAACAGGACCTAATCCTTTATACAAGACGACATGAAAAATCCCGACAAATCTTTGACTTCATGGTAAACAGGAATTACATTTTCTGATGGTGGAACCACTATCATTAAAGAACAGATATAAACAACCTTATGTAACACAAACCCAGGCTCAAGACCTGGTTGTCTTAATATCTCCTTCTAGTTTGTGCAATAGACTGAATTGTGAGCTGTACTGTGTAATGTTTAAAGGATTAACTCTGACCTTTGTTTATTCTCTAAGTCGATCTCTGCCCTGTACTGCTTTGTCTTTCATGCAAGTAAACAAACTATTACCTAAGTTCTATACAATATAGAACGGTTATATTGGAACTAGCATTGAAGATTCAGATAATAATTTCTGCTAACTGACTTGCATTTTGAATGTTGCTTGCAGCTTCTTATGGCTGTGCAAATTGAAATAATAAATTAAAATTAAGTAGGACTTTGTTGGATAATATTCCGCATGCTGTGAATGACATATGCAAAGAGACTGGTATAGTGAGCCCGTTATGTTTGAATCATATAACTTGTGCAGATGGGCATTACAGTGTACATTCACAGGATGAATGATACTATGGTAATGTGGTTAATTAAATGGAATCGGATTAACTGATTTTGACTTGTGAAGTTAAAAGTGAAGTGTTCAGAGAAGATATTAAGTGATTTGATGCTACCCAATTAAAACTGAGCTGCATTCAAATTAAACGTAATAAATTCTGAAGCAACTTTGACTTTGATTTTGACACAATCCTGGACTGCGCCCACCTCATGAAGAGCTCTCCTAAAGGCACTGAGAACATTTTACTAAGTAAGGAAGAATATAAAATTAACATTTTCTTTACTCTGAGCAATGTGGATCATGCTTACATGTAAACTCTGTCAAAGTACAGTCAAGACACCCTCGGTTTACCTTGTTGGCCAGCATTAGTCTAAATCCCTACTCTACAGAATGAAACCAGTTCAGTCCAGCTTTACTTATTCAACAGGGTCTAATCTTTGTGTAGCATGTTATTCTCCCCTCATCCTGAGAGTGCATTTCCGTCTCAAGCCCTGACCAAATTAGATCACCGATGCACACACCCACTTCTTTTTTATCAGCAGCCTGTCAAAAGGACTGCTGCTTCTGAGAATCTGCTGCTAATCTGTTGGACTCTTCAGACTGTGCTGAGAAAATCCTGCATAACCACAGGTGGAACAGGTGATTGTGCCCCATATACAACATCCACTAATGAAAAAAAATCATCACACTTAAATGCAATGCTCATCCAACAAGTTGTTCTAAATTGTTAGAACATTTGCTTTGACTTTTAAATGGATGAGCAATCCAGTGGGAATTATTTCTGGAGTGGGTTTATTTCACTGTTTAGACTTCTCTTTCTCTGCACCCAACTTGAGCACTGAATGCTATGAAAGCCATCCAAAGGGACAAAGGTAAAGCGGCTAAATGTGCGGCGTAACCATGTGGCTGCCATGTCAGTGTCAGCAGGGACTAAATCCTTCTCTTGGCAGGAAAAAGATCCAGTGTTGTTTTTCAGCATGTCAGCACGATACAATAAAATAAATATAGCTGGAGGTGAAATGGTGACATTTTACAGGCAAATACCAAATGATCTACCAATTTATTTAACAGCAAAGGATTCTCAATAAACAAATAAACAACAGCGGCAAGAATAGCAATCAGGCTACCGCAGGTGTAGCATAATTGCATAATGGAGTCTTAACACACTAAGTTCTCCCTTTCCCTAAATAGAAGTTACATCACCGCAAGCAGTCTATAGAACAACAGCGCAATTGTTTAAGCAGTTTAGTAATTGCTTGGGACCGACGTCTCATGTGGGGGCATCTGAGGAAAATGCACAATCACCTATAATTTGGCTTTTTTATCCCTTAGAAGGGTTTGAAAATAAAGCACTCAACAGACGACCAGCAGCATTTGTTTATTGCGAGGGTTATGTGGACAGAGGAAAGGATGTCACTGGGAAAAAAGATTTTTAAATTCCATTAATGATGTGTGGCAGCCCCGGACAGAGTTTCATTTCCTGCTGTAGCAAGGTGAAAAGTGCTGTTTCCTTAACAACATCTTAGTACATTAACATGAGGCACCTATCATGACTATTTTGGATTTTTTGACATGAAACACTGAGGTTTTCTTTTATTTCAACTTGTTTTTAATGTCAGGCTCTACAATCTTCTGTCCAGTGAGGAAGTGCCAAACACCCCCTCTGTAAAACTCATTTCCAAATGAGTAGAGAAGTGCATTGAAGAAGGGATTTGTCTTTGCAATGACTGGCAGCACCTACAAGAGAGTAAAAACCATCTACATGACTCTTGGGCCAACATATCCAGCACCAATACTAAAATAAATTCCACTTGAAAAGCAATGGCAAGTCTTCTAAGCCACAAAACATTTACAACTAATAGCTAACAATCTGAAAAAGAAATTTTTTGCTGATAATGACATGGATTTTCCCCCCTTATTTTTGTGTTGAAACGATTAGCCCCACAATGTGCTGGACTGATGGTGCTCACCATTCGTAGCTTTGGAGAGACGACTTTCACATTCTCGAAGCAGGCATAGATACACATGAGGACGTACGGGCCCCAGCACATCAGCATCACCCTCAACGGCAGATTGGTGTTGAACTGAAAGATTAAGTTTATTTTGTTAAACACTGAACGACGCACTTAGTCTGAAAAACACAGAACGACTGATAAAATGTAGTCTTGTTTGACAATAACAATGTGGAATCTGGTGTTATTGATTAAAAAAACAACAACATGAATTTAAATATTTAGACGTGATCCAGCAAATGATTAGAAATCTATTCACTTTGGACAGAAATGTATTATTTCAGAATAGAGTTGAAATACTATCAAAGACTGGGGTCAGCCGGGTCATGGCCATTCTAAGAGCTATAATGGGTATATATAAATATGTATATATATATATAAGCATTACCCTGTAGTAGTGGATCTTCTTAAAATGCTTGTTGATGGCATCATAACACGAGAACATGGTGACAGCTGGGAACATCAGGTAGAGCACCGTCAGAGTTAGCATGTAGGTGATATAGTCCCTGGAAGACAGCATAAGTATAAACTATGGTAAAAATCAAAGCCTGGTGTGAATATGTATCCTGTACTCATGCATTTCTACCTGTCCCCTCTTGTGTAGTCCAGTGTGCAGCATGTCCTCATAGGCTCAAAGTCATAGACACCCCATCCCATGAGAGGAACAGCAGCCCAGAAGATGGAGAGAGCCCAAATGATGCCGCTCATCACTACAGTCGTGCTCCAGAACAGCTTCTGCCCTGCAGAACAAAATGGTGCAGTCAGTTTGAAATGAAGAACATTTTGATTGCCGAATCAAGTCAATCAGATAAATGAAATCTTAAGAAAAATAGGTACAATCAGTTCTTGTCCATTAAACTGATCCATTTGCCATGTGGCAATATACTTTATTTTATTGCCAGATTCTTGTGCTTTTACACACAACGTAGAACTGAATACAGTGACAAAGCTATGGCAAACCCAATTCAAAACTGTTCCCATCCAAAATAGATCTAAGTGCAGTAAGGCTGAGAGAAGTTAAGTAATTAGATAAATGATCCCTTCCTTCACTACAATCTAAAACATTGTTGCCAGCTTTTCTTAGAAACTTTAGGAAATCTCATCCCAATTATTTGTGACCAAATGCACTGCAGAATCTCATGAATCCTCACGAGATGACTGTGTCCCAAATGCACTGACATGCATGATAAAGCCTTTAATCTTTTTAAATAACCCATGGACGGGAAAAACTAATTTCAGAATTTATTTTGCTGGCACCGGTCTGTAGTGCTGACTAAAACAAAATAGCCTGTGGATGTTAAAACACACATACTTGCAAAAATGAGTGCAAGTGTCCGATCTAACAGGCTATACCAGGAGAAATGCAGTCTGCATCACATGTAAAGAGTGTAATAATAACAGATATCTGATTGATTGTCAGGTAAACTTTGATTGAACGGGTCAAGAAACTGGATCAGTGGTAGGCAGCAACTTCATCTTAAATGGTTGTGTTTGTTACTCACTGGTGCAGTACTGGTGGTATCTGTCCCACGCGACCGCAGCCATGAAACTGATGGAGGCCAGCACCGAAATCATCCCCTGAAAACCGTGAAAGTCACAACCATCTTGACCAAAAGGCCAGTACCTAGAGAAAACAAAGAAAACTTGTGTCGCACTCCAGCTTACTGTGTTTTTAACAAAGGATCAATGACTACTTTGGATTAGCCTAAAACCTAAAACCTTTTTTTTTTTTTGGCTGTTGTTGGTGATCTGTGAATCAAAGCCCCAGCACAACTTTGGGTTGTAAACCAGTTGTTGTTACTTTACAAGTTTGTACTTCTGTGTTAGTATTTACATGCTCTTAAGTTAAAATACAATTTTAACACTTTAATACTAATATTGAATATGAGTACTAATACACTTTAATACATTTTAATACTATTTTCAGGCTCCAGATAATATTTGTGTTTGAATACTGCCAAAGAAGCCACCAGTCCTTTGAAAGGTGCAATATATCTTTTTGTCCCAATCAGGTTTTTACAGCCACAAAGTAGTAAGAGCAGGTTAATTAAAAGTTTTAGTAATTTCCACAACATCTTGATGAGATTTACCTAAAAAAAACATTTATCTTTAAATGGACAATACTGGACCTAATTTTGCTAAAGGGTTCAATAACAGTACGTGACAAATGGAGCCTGGAGCTTGAAGTTATTCTAAAAAAGTGCATGTCCTCAGTTTGATACCTGAGATAGCTGGCATAGGCAGCTGTGAGTCCATTTATGTTCAAACTGAGGTCGGCCAGCGCTAGATTGAACACAAAGAAGTTGCTGGGTGTTCGCATCTCCTTCACAGTGATGAAGGCCAGGATGCTGATGGCATTGAGGAAGAACCCCAGCAAACCTGTAAGCGGATAACAGTTAGAAGTTCCAGTTTAAATTTAGAATTACAAGTCTGTTTTATTTGAAAATCCCATATAACTAATCAACGACTGATCCTAAACATTGCATAACAAAAAGTGAATAAATAAAAATGCAATTTTGGGTGTTTAGCAGGGTTTTAGAGCCGCACATTCCAAACATCCTTATGAAAGCAGACATCCATGCATTGTTTTGCATTGGGCAGCATGAGGTGGACTTTCGCTTTCACAGTGAACGGTGTCTTTTATTTTCTGCACAACAGGCTCCATTCTGCACGGCCCACTCACCCCCAACAAGAAGTGCAGAGCCAAAGGAAAACATGTCAAAGTCCGTGAATCCATCCGGTAAAGTATACGCTCCCATCTTTGGACGTCCAAACCAAACTTCGCACAAAACACACGGCGTTCACTTCGCTGCCTGTTGACCAACCGTCTCCTCCCAACTTTCCCCTTATAAAGGCTCTTTCACGTGAAAAAGCATAAAAGAACTAATCTCGGTTAACCCCCCCATGCAATCCTCGGAGGAATGTCCTAACGAGCACACTCGCTGCAAACTGTCTGCAAGTCGTTTTTTCGTAGAAATAGTAACCCTCCTTTGCTGTTAAATGTTTTTGATGCAAACAGTCGGTTTTTGGAACTAGATCCCAAACGGGGTTCCGAATCTTTTGACAGCCTAAACTAACTTCACCTTTGAACTACTTTTCTTATTTCGGCTTGTGTGTGATAAGGAAATAGAAGTGGAACATGGGAAATGTTGTCCTTTAATGACACAATGGACTCTCATTCAGAACCCCAGCTTGGTTGGTGTTTGGTAACTGAGAGGCAAGAAGCTTCAGGGTCAGGGTTAGGGTTCAGTTTCTTTTCCTCCTTTTTCTTCTTTTCATTTTTCATTTTAAAAAAGAATAATCAAAGGATTTGTGGATAATCAAATATTTCTTATCATATATCTTTTGGGCTTTTAACCATGTGTGTGTTAGGAAATTGATGGTAAGGCTCATTCTGTCCTCAGTGGATTAGACATTCTTTTTATCACTGGCTTCAACAACCCTAAAAATGTGATCATCTCACCGCTCTGCTCAGCAGTGGGAGAGTTGTTTCCGTCATTTGTCCTCCCAAGCAAAGTTTTTCAAGTTAGGGCCCAATCAATCCTCAACATGAGATTTTTAATCAGTTGTGTTTGCACAAATCCAGCTGAAAACCTGAATGGTGTTCACTCAGTTCCATCTTAACCTCTGCTACTTTGAGAAATCTGTTTTAACTCTTCCAAAAGACCTGCTTTATTGGCAGAAGCTACTTAAATTGTCAGACAAACAGGCCAACGCAGAAAAGAAGGAGCCCAACGCTGCTTGATGTTAGCACAAAGACTGAACAATCCATTTAAGATGATAAGAAGAAGAATAGCTTTGGACTTTGGACAAACCATCAGCACTTCATTCCTATAGACATGGATCTGTCCCTTAGATAACCCTGGCAAAAACGAGGACGGTAGAAAAGTGAGCTCTGGCTCTCGCAGCAGCCTGAGCCTTTTAAAATGTAACATTTGGGCAGAGTCTGATTGCTCCACTAATCTGTGCACAGATTACCGCAAACTCATTAACTATGTAGTAACAATGTGTCCCAATGGATTTATAATACCCTTTTCTGAAACTGTACAACAAAAGAGAGCGGCATTGTCACTGCACACGGCTGGATTTGCTGCCACAAAGACAGAAACCATCTCACTGGTAGCATCTGATTCAGAATATTATGTCTGCTGTCCCCAACACAGACAAAAATCCAGCGAGTTGCAAGTTTGTTTGAAACCAAAAGCTGTGTTGTGAGACCAGGCTGTGACATAAAGCAGCACTGTTCCAAATTTCACAATCAATGAGATTCAATAACGCAATCTGTTAAGCTACCGCAGCTGAGGGTGATGAAACTGGAACTGGTCTGACCCGAGCTCACAGAAGGGGAACGGGCCATGGGCTGGAATCAAACCCAGACCTCCTGCAGAGGAGGGGAGCTTCCCCTGGAGGGCCACCTGCTCAACCCAGTGAGCTAAATGTTGTTAAAGCATTATCCCGTTTAACTCCTTGACTCATCTTTTTGCAGTATATGTTGATTCTGTTTCACTATGAATAATAATAAAATTGTTACCTGATTGTCATGCCCAGTTGCTAAAGGTTTTTCAAGCATGCATCGTTTAAACATTCGGCTACTGAAAAATGGTTCAAGACTCCAACGTATTCTTTTGGTTTTGCAATGAAACAAAGGTTCCGCTGTGCATTTGTACCAAAGTTCAGAACAAGTTAACCAAGTGTGTTTTTTCTTATTTCTACAAAGGCATACAGATGCAAATTAATTATCAGAGTGACGTCAGGTTAGTTAAATGTTTTTACTATTACTTCCCCGTATTGCAACATTAGTACATTTGAACCCAAACCACTGTCAACTTCTTGACTTAATCCTGAATACATTAGCTTCAATATACTGTACACATTTAGTTAGCCATTCACTCTCAATCTAAATACTTTGGTTGCATTTGTCCATTGTTCTTCCTTGGAGTTTAAATATCATCTCAGCCTCCCGCATATCTTCAGCCTTTACGTCAGCTGTATGGGTCCTTTCATCATTAATATTTTCAGAAGACAAAAGTGTTGCTTAAAGGAGCCGTAGATTGTTGGGATAATGCTTGAGAAGAGAGATCATCAACAGATTTGGAATTTCCATCCATTTCCTTGACAATGACAGGGAAGCCTGTCAAGCAAATTGACTTAATGAATCATCACTCTGTTGATGCGGCACCATCAACTCACCTTTGAACCGGACGTGTAACACTGAGGTCACGGAGGGGGATGGTGTAGTGTGTGCGACAGGTGCAGGGCTTGAAGTCGGCCTCTCTGGGACAGCCCTCCTGAAAGAAATGGAACATAGTTGTAATAATATGAGACAGAGAGATGACTGGATTAAAGGATTTGACATCCCCCGGGACGGCTGTATCTTTAAACCTCTGCACCTGCAAAAAACTGAGTGACTGGAGCAGAACATATATTACTGATAAACTATGTCAGAGCCAGCGGCCATAGTTTCAACAAGATATATAAACACAAAAATATACTGTAACTAACTTATTAGGCTTAAATCAGGAGATTGCCTTTGTATTGCATTCGCTGTCAAAACTAATTAAGAAGAGGAAATAATTCTAAATGATCACTGACAGTCTTATGAAGTTCTTCTTTACTTTGGCTGCTCTCTCACAGAGGCCATTTTTTTGCATCTGACCATTTTCAGCAGAATCGGTATTTGTGTTTGCTGAGCTGCTTTCCAATAACCTATGACCTAATCGAGCGTAAAGGGACACCTAAGTCGATGGATGAAACGGTGGTGTGTCTGCACATATAAAAACAACCTTGCACATGGCCCTATTCTAACTTTGTTCCTAGCAGCCCATCGCTTATTTGTGTCAATTTCTTTATTTGTATTTAGAAAGATGAAGAGGTTTTTGTGTTTTCTTAGAAATGAACCCACTCAAATCCAATACACGCTGCCATCTAGTGGTTGTTTTAATGCGATGTACCTCCTTTTTGTTATGGTGGTGTTGGTTAGTCTGCAGTACAACCTGAGTCAACACAGAAAATAGTAGGACATCCATCTGTTTTTATATTGGTTTTGTTTGTTTGCTTGTTTTTTTGTTTGTTTTACTGTTGTAACAGGTAAAAAAAAAATGGCAGCATTTGACCATTGTTGTCTGGATGAAACAATCCCCACTTCCACATTAATTAGGACAGCATGGAAGAATATACGAGATAAAGATGCTCATAAGAGATAGACGTGTGGAATTGAATTCGTCTACACGAAGTCTCAAATTGATATAACTGCTGATGATCAGCACAGTTTATTACTTATCATTTTTAGCCAGCCAATCAACTTTTTGGGAAGTGCTTCTCTGAGAAAGAAAGTGAAATGTGTGCAGCCTATCAGCTTCAGGGAAAGAATAGCCTAATCGTGTGAATGAAAATAACCCAAGTCCTCCTTTAATCCCTGCCTATCCCTTTTATCTGAGGATTCAGACCAGTCACAGAGCATAGCTGCGCGCCTGCAAACCACCGCGATGCGTCCGATGCTCCGTTAGATCGCTTTTCAGCGCCTGTTAGTTTACATTTATATATTTTTTTCTACTTCGTCTTAGTTGAGCAGAGATTCGTTTGCTTGCGGGGGGAAATCATGAGTCGACACGCCAGTGCGCTGTTTTGGATGGCTGTAGTTTTGCTCCCCTCACTGAGCTCCACATGTCCCTCACAGTGCAGCTGCTTCTTTCACAAGTTAAGCGACGGATCTAAAGCAAGGTAAAAATTATTTCCTTTTTGTGTGCAGCCTTTAGGTTGAAGAGTGTGTAAAACTGATTTGATGTCATATTTCCTGTATTCACCTAGTCTGTAAATTCAGGGATTAATTTGCTCTTTAATCTCCTTTGCTTGTTACCGAACAATAGGTTAGGCTGCATCTTCCCCCTCAAACTGATGAGTTATTTTTCATTTGATAGATCATTCACATGTATGTAGTTTTACAGTTATCCATTTCTGTAAACCCTTGTAGGAAAGTGGTTTGTAAATCGTTCCTATGTAACGCAGCATTATAAACACTGTTCTCTTTCTCTTTCTTGGCAGGAGTGTTCTTTGCAATGATCCAGCGATTGCTTTGATCCCTCTAAATTTCCCCATTGAGACATCGAAAATACGCATAGAGAGGACAGCTATTACACGCATTACCAGCAATAACTTCTACTACCTCAACAATCTGGAGATTCTCTGGATGTCTTTCAATGCACTGAATTCTCTGCATCCCGAAAGTTTCCGGGGTCTCTACAACCTGGATGAGCTCAGGCTGGACGGAAACTCGCTCACCTCCTTTCCCTGGGAGTCCCTGACCGACATGCCGATTCTGAGGCTCCTGGACCTGCACAACAACAAGATCTCCACCATCCCCGCCTCAGCCGCCACGTATATATCAAACATCACCTATTTGGATTTATCCAGCAACAGTTTTACGACCCTTCCTGCTGAGATCCTCACCATGTGGCTGAGTGTGAAACCCTCCCAAGACTCAGAATCCTCCAAACTAATTCTGGGTGAGGATCAAGCTGTGGCATTTTTAGACCGTAGAAAGTTTTCTTTTTAAAGCAGCCCCCTTTCAGTGCAGGATTAATCTTGTTAGAGTTATTGTGTGTCACGCTGCCAGACAAATTCTGCTCTCCTTTATCTCTCGGGTCTGTGCTAACTGACAGGACTATTTCAATCTTGGTTCCTCTGCAGGTCTCCATGACAACCCGTGGATGTGCGATTGCCGTCTGTACGATCTGGTGCAGTTTCAGAAGTCCCCGTCATCGTCCATGGCTCTTATCGACACCAGGCTGAAATGTGCCGATCCAGAGAACCTGTCGGGGGTCTTCTTCACCGAGGCGGAGCTGCAGAGGTGCGAGCTCCCTCGGGTCCACACGGCCGTGGCTCGTGTTCGGAGCTCACTGGGCAACAACGTCCTGCTGCGCTGCGGAACCGTGGGGGTCCCCATTCCCGAGCTGTCCTGGAGCCGTGTCGATGGCAAGAAAATGAACGGCACAGGTGAGTTTTGCTTGTCTAAGATTAGATTAAGCTTTATTTGTGTAAAAGCCCAAATGTCAATGAGATTAGCGTTCCTGCTTTTGTGTCAATCTGTTTAACCCTAGCTATTTTTGTTTTTCAGTTCAAGAAGAGATTTCAAAGGAAGGCATCATTTGGTCCATTCTCAGTGTGCCTGCCGTCTCCTACAGAGACTCTGGGAAATATTTGTGCAAAGCTACCAATTTTGTGGGCACGGCAGATGCCATTATCTCTCTGGTGATCACAGACTCTATGCGGTCAGAGGAAGCAGTCGGTGGTGTCTCGAAGAGAGTGAAAGGAAAGAAGGCGGGTGGCATTGGGAAAGCGGCCTACCAGGAGAAACTCATAGCCAGATATGTTCCCCCACCTACCAGCACTGCTGCCCAGCCCATCATTGAACCACTCAATGGCAAAGGGGTGACTGGGAAGTATGAGATTGAGAGCTACAGCATTTCCGATGATAGCTCTCAGGGACAAGGCAAAGTGTCAGACCCCAAGAAGGGGATGGAGGTGGGTGAGGAGATTTTGAGTAACTTGGCTGCCAATGCCTCGTCTTTACAGCAAGCTCCCGAGAAGAGGGTGGTGCGATCGGTGAAGGTGATCGGAGACACCGACCACACCGTCTCCCTGAACTGGCGAGCTCCCACAGCGACAAACGTTACAGAATTCAGCGTTTTGTACGCTGTGTTTGGCGAAAGGGACATGCGACGCATCAACGTAAGTGCCGGAAGGAACCGGATCACTATCGAGGGCCTGGTCCCCAAAACAAAATACATTGCTTGTGTCTGCGTCAAAGGTCTGATCCCCAAAAAGGAGCAGTGTGTAATCTTCTCAACAGACGAGGCCGCCAGCGCCAGTGGGACTCAGAAGCTCATTAATGTAGTGGTGATAACTGTGGCGTGTGTTATCGCTGTCCCCCTAACGCTGATTGTCTGCTGTGGGGCGCTCAAGAAACGTTGTCAGAAGCTGCTGGGGCGAGAAACAAAAGAAATGCAGGACTCTTACGTCACGTTTGAAACTCTCGGCCCCGGGGGCAAAGCTAAAGGGATGGAGGGCGAGTATTTGACCCGGCTGACTCCTGATGAATCCAACAGGTTGCTGTCAGCGAGGTCAAGCGTTGATTCAGAGGCCTTAGCCAGGACTGAAGGACCACCGAATGAGTACTTCTGTTAAAACCAAACCGAACTATGCTTGTTTTTTTTGGAGCATGCACTTTGTTATAACTGGGGTTGGTAGAGCACAAAGATGCTCAGAGACTCACAGGACTCAAATGATCCACCTTTAAGGGCTCTCAGTCAACACTGATGGTTGTGTCCGCGTAGGATTCATGAGATTATGAGATCATGTGAGAACAACTTCAACCGCTCATTTGGTGGCAAAAAAACAAAAGGGAACATAAACACAATGACGATGGTTTTAATATGGGTGTACAAGAGATAAAGAGCTATTTTCTATTTGTTTTCCACTTTTAAAGGTTATGTTTTGCAGATAACATTTTCTTGATACCCACAACTCTCATAAACCCAGTCAATTGTTTTTTTTTGTGTGTTGGGATGTAACTTCTGCTTTGTGGTGAAAACAAAAAGTGTTTAGAGAACCAGCAGTCTGTTTAGTCTTTTTTTGTATGTCAGTATGATGTTAATGTGCCAGGTTACCTGTTGGCTCAGAAACCTAATAAACTATTAATTTTATAACACGGAATTACTTGTAACCTGAAATATATGTATGTTTGAATGTAATGACTGAAAATAAATATTTTTATAATAATTAATGCCTATTAGCTTTTTCCCTCCCATGCCAGAGGAGTAGCATTTCTCCATGTTATTTAAAGCTGTTTTTATCCCCCATTTTAGCCATCCAACCATCACGATGACATTTCCAGCTCTTTGAGAAATATTACATCTTTTGCATATGTTGAGTATGAGTGCTTAAAGTATGCGTCTATCTGGGCTTACATTGAAAAAAGTCTTCCATGTTATTTAGTGTGTTTTTTCAGGGAAATATATCCAAGCAGACAAGACTAAGACATTTAAAAATGTACTCCAACTTGGTCTCTACAAATGATAAGATATCTGAGAGGTAACCCACATTGCCATACATCAGGTTAATCCATCTGCCACTTAAATAAAAACTTTGATTCCATTCAAAATCAATTTGAGGAGAATATTTCCAAGACTGAATCTCAAAGCTGGAGACATTTTATTTACCTTTACTCTCTTTATATGCTGACTCGGCCATTACCAACCTGACAGACAAACAGTGTTCAGATTATTGAGGTCAGATTACAGTCCTTTCCAGACATCTGTCTCTGTCTCAGTGCTGCCCTCCCTCCCAGCACCGTTAAGCCCGGCGGACTCCGGCCCACTTAACACAGATGGGTCTCCCGCTACGTTGGTGCTGTAGCAGGGGACAAATGAATTTAATCAAACTGACACAAAGCATTTCATGAATATATATGACTTTATTCATGTGCGGGGGATTTATAAACTCTCCTACTTCACTTAGTAGAACAACTACCACTTGGGTGTTTTTTGAGCTGATGGTAAGGTTTTCTGGACAATGTAGACCACCACTATAAATACACCTTCCCAAGTCTCACATGTCATTTGATGTCTTAAGCATTACGTCAATGAAGATTAGGTTAATAGGCTTTCTTTCGTGCAGTGGATAGGCTTGTCCTGCCCTCAGAGGCCTATTTCACATGCTCATCCAGGAACATGGATGCCTTTTGTGTCGCATTTGGTATCTCTTTGGTGTTTTCTATCATTAAACCTGGATTCTCAACCTGTCTGTCAGGTTGTACTTGCACAGATGATAACCTGGGCAGGTAAGTCACGCTAAATCTATAGTCACCTTTAAAAGCTGGTCATGCGGTAATTGTGACCTTGTTTTGAATAGCTTCAATGGTGCATTAAGCGTAAGCTGTAAGAGCAAAATGTTTGAAACCTTCTAATGTGATCAATGATTTGGGGGAAATGCTGTATGTACTACATGATAAGCTACATACAGATGGAAGACTATGCATATTCAGCTTGTCTTGACAACAAATGTTCTGTCTCTAAATCTAGATCTCTGCTATGTATGGAAACCTCCATGGGACGAATCCCAGAGGACATCTCTCATGACTTTACTAAAATTCGAATTGAAAACTGCCACCTAACTGAGTTGCCTCGAGGTTCTTTCTCTCGAGTTAGTGGCTTGGAGTTTCTCTGGCTGAATTTCAATGAAATCACCCTGATGAACATCAAAAGCCTCGAGGGACTCGGTAACCTGACTGAGCTGAGGCTACAAGGTAACAAGCTTACGTCCGTACCATGGACGGGATTCCAGGACACACCTAAACTCAAGATTCTGGACTTGAAGCACAATCGACTGGATGTGCTACCAGAACATGCTCTGAGACACTTACCTGCACTGACCTATTTAGATTTATCCTTCAACCAGCTTAGCATTATATCAAAAGAAGTTTTTATTAATTGGCCTCTGTACCAGACAGCAGAGAAAACATGGGGGAAAGAAGGCATAGTGTCTAATGTAGTTTTGGCACTGCATGACAACCCCTGGTTATGCGACTGCCGCCTCAAAGGCTTTGTTGAATTCATTAGGGAGGTCAGTCCTCCCATCATTCTGATGAACTCTTACATGGTGTGCTCAGGCCCACCTTCCAAATCTAAGATGTTTTTCCACGAGATCCAGTTAAAAACATGCATGAAGCCAGTGGCCTCGGCCCCAGAGACAAACATCACTCTGCCTCTCGGAGCAAACGCAACCCTGACATGTGTGGCCCAGGCCAGACCAGGCCCAACCGTGCAGTGGATGTACAGCCTGAAAATTATACGAGGATTTGCCGGTGAGTTTCTGCTTTATCACTACCAACCATTCTGGCACTTTTTGGGGTACACCTCGAAATATTGTAGAAACACTGCCTGACTGTCCTTGGTCAAAACCAATCCTCAGATTTGTGTGCAGTTTTCCCAAATGCTACTTTTGTCTGTTTACAGCTGCCCAGACTCAGATCGATGAGGAAACGGTCTCCTCCCAGCTGGTGATTCCCTCCATTCACATAGCAGACCGAGGACTCTACACCTGCATGGCTAACAATTTCATTGGAAACTCCTCTGTCGGCATCACACTAGACATCAGCACCTACAACTCCTCCATTCCTCTTCCTCCACCTGTCCCTATGTTGTCCTCCGACAACAACGTCCACATCGATATCCGCATAGCCAAGCAGACAGTTTACGGCATCACCTTGGAGTGGTATGCAGCCACAGAAAACCCTGCAGAAACATGGTTCACCATCCACTTTGGCAAGTATGATGCACCCAAGAAAGAGATGATCTACATTGGCCCTGGCATCAACAGCTACTCAGTCAGCGATTTGCTTCCTGTAACTAAATACGAGGTGTGTGTCACTCTGAAGAACCACCCACCCCGGGAGGGCCAGTGTATTTTGTTCGTCACAGGAAGCGACATGAGTGAGCTGGAGCAGAGAGAAAAGCTCATTCATATAATAGTCATTGTGTGCGCCATGGTGCTGGCTGTGCCGGCTGGTATGTATGCATGCACCACAGAGGCCAGGTTCCCCTGCTTGGACCGCTGCATAGATCTGTGGAGGAAGCGAAGGATGCATGGAGATAACCTGCAGGGACCAGACAGGCAGGGCACCTTCGACAGCCTGCAGGCAGCCAGCGATGAAGCCTTGTGCAGGGACTCAAAGGAAAAGCAAGTAAAGAGGCGGAAGTCTGAAGATAGGGGCAAAGGAGGAAGTGCTGCTCATCTGTACTAATCTGTACTAGTCAGATAATGTACATATACATTCATTTCTAAATCATGTCAGTTTTAAATGTAGCTCCAGTCTGTGCCTCTTCTCTTCTTCTCTTCTTCTCTTATGGAGCTAACATGATGTTCTAATATAACAAGTTTAGTTTGATTAATTGTTTAGAATATTGCTTAAAGATGTAATGACACTCTTATAATGAAATGTTGAAAGAATGCATTGGCACAAACTTGATAAATTTTGAAAGAAAAATAGTCCTTCAAAATTAAAATGCCTTTCTTCCATCTCATAGAGAGTGTTTTATGTAAGTACAAAAAGAAGTCTATTTCCATTAAGTATATTTTTTAAGTTTTTATACAGCACTAGTGATTTACTGTGGATAATTCTGTGGATGCAGTAAATTCTCAGACAACAATGTATGATTTTCTATTTATATATATAAACGTACTTGTCTTTTATCTTTGTAAGTCGCTTTGGATGAACTACCAAATTCTGAATTCTGAGTGTATATTTGAAATTTTATGCAAGTTTATAGGTGTTGCACTCATGGTTGAAATGTTTCACTGTATGCACTCTACAGAACCTAAATATACGGTCTTGTGATAAAATGAAATGTTATTGATGTGGATTAAAGAGAAAGCAAATGCAGAGACTTACAGAGACCTCCAGTACAATCACTCAAAGGATTTGTTACATAAGGAGCGTTTCCTCATGAATTTATACATACGTCATAAGAAGATTAGAGTGATTTTCTGTCTGAATCCTAGTCAACAGGGCATGATATTTCCATTTAATGAAAACTGCAAACTCATTGTGTTTGCACAGTAAATACACAGGTTAGGTCTTTGAAGTGTGAATGTAAGTATGAAGAACAGAGGTATGTTTTACAATTTTTTTTGCTGCACAGGTTCTCAGACACTTTACTTATTACAAGTTAGGTCACAAAACTCTGCATAAAACTATTTTTATATTTAAACCCTATTTAGTCGCTTTTCTTATTGGGTTCTCTTGAGAAAATATCTATTTCAGTTACATGATTGAATTAAACAGTTTTGGCACAATACATTTTATTACAGATACTTAAAATCTGCTTTATTCTGTCATCCTTTTTTAAAATTTGTCCATCAGAGCATGTAAACCCAGATTTGAAAGGATTGTATTATTTATTATCATTATTAATATTACATGTACAAACTATATATATAAAAAAGTAATAGGAAAGTGAAAGGCATGTTTAGCCTTCAAATGAAAATGATGAATTATTGAAATGTGGAGGCACAGAAAAATGCCCAAATCAGACCAATACATTTGGATACTGAAGGATTTCCTCATTATTGACCTATATAATTGTTTAATTAAATAAACGTGTATTAGAATAAAATGGAATACAAATGAAAATATTTTCAAATATTTATTTAAAATCAAGACAAAGTACAAAGACGGTACAAATATGTTACTTAGAAGAACCAGGCATGTGTAATTCATGTTAATGATATATCATTGATCTTAACTTATTTCATTTAGTTAAGATATAGTTAGATCCCAAATGTTTGACACATATCCTATTTTCAAATATGTCTCTACATATAAACATTTATTTGAAATGTCCAAGCAAGTTACAAACACATAACAATGCAATTTTTTCAAGCATATGACTAATTGCTGCCAGATACATCCCACTTGTGGGTTTGTTAATGGGTTTTTTAAATTTTTATCTTATAGTTACTGTTTCACATAACACCTGAAATCTTATGTACATGTCTATACATACATATATATGTATATATGTATATATAAATATATATGTATGTGTAAGCTTTAAAATAATCCAAATAATTCAATGCTGTACATTTTAAATTGACCAATGAACATTTATATAAAAGCATTTCTCTATTAATAAAAGCAGGCTTGTGTTACTACAGTGGCACATTGTAATCATACAAATAAGCAACTTCTCAGCTTTGAAGCAGCTGATGTAACACAGTAAAAATATCAACACACAGGTCTTTTAGCACTTCATCATGAGCTGTCTGTCTTTCATGAACACGTCATCCAGGTGCGTGCTCATATGAGCGAGAATTCTGGATTTACGCTTAAAAATCCTACACTGTGTTGAAAACACTGCCGGGTTGTGAGCACTAACCTTTTCAGGAAGTGTCGTAAATGTCTTATACACAGTTAGTCCTTGTAGTCTTTTCTGTGGACAAAGCATGAGTGATGCAGTGATGCTTCTTGCTTAAGATGATGTAATCCTCCTCAAGATGGCGGTGTGGTCCTTACCGAAACAAGGCCGACTGCCGTTCAGCCCACGTTAATGTCTCATCCTAAGACATAATATTCTGTAAACCTTCTGTTTTTTTACAGTTTACTCGAATGCATGATCTTCCAGATCATTACATGGAGTTCAAGATGGGTTAAGAGCAGTAGAGCTGTCAAAGAATGAGTCAGCTTGCGTAGTTTGGGTTAATAATAACCTTGGTTGTTTTCATTGATTTTCTGCTCCAGCTTCATTTTAAGCTCAGACACTAAAGCAGAGCTGATGTTTCCCTCTTTGCGGCGGCCAGATTTTGCCTTCTTGGAGCCTTTGGAAGCCAGTGCACCAGATATCGTCGGGACTGCCCTGGGCCTCTCCATGGGTCGCGAGTTAGATGGAGGTGGAGGAGGCAGACAAGGAGCAATAGGGGGTGGAGGTTTTGGCCGGAGGGTGCTGTTGTTCCCCTGGGGGGTGCTCTCTGGATCACTGACGAGGAATTTGTCAGCAGGGCTGCTGAACCTGATCACAGGCATCCTGAAGGTCCAGGGCTGATGGTCCCTGGGTCGCTTCTTAATGATGCGCCGTGTTGGCATGATCCTGTTGGACTTTGAGTTGCGCATAAACATAGCCGTAGAGATCATGACTGTCACTCCTACTAATACTGTAATGATAAAAGTGACCATGCCTAGAGCTTTCAAAGGATTGTCCCTACTTTTCATTAAAAAGGCCGCCATAGGCCCCTTGAGAGGAGTCTGTAAAAGAGCACAAATAGAATCATTTGAATTTATATTCAAGCCTTTATACGTCATTCGTCCAAAGCATGTAAGCATGAGAAATGGATGCACAGAGCACTGGCAGAGGAGGCCCAAACATCTCTATCAGTTATTCACACACACACATATACTCAGTTATTTTTCTTACTCTTTTCTAAAGTATGGGACTACTGGCGCAAAGCTAAAAGCTAGGCACGACACAGGTTGTTGGGAATGCGTCTGGCAGTGCTGTGCTTTATGGTTTTGTTTGTGGATGATTAGGGGTGAACATCAAGGATGAAAGTTCATGGAACCACAAAAGAGGTGTTTGTGGGTGGAAATTGAGAGTAACAAAGTGACTTGAATCCAAAGTCATGCTCCACTTAAAAAAGATGTTTAGATTATAGAATTTATATATTCCATTCTGTAGAAAAATATACATTACCAAAGTATTCAAGTAGTCAAGTATATAAAAAATATTTAGAAAATAATGTTCTTTCTTTTTAAGATTGCCCAATCCAAAAAACGAATTTAAATAAATATAATAAAAATGTTCTGCCTTTTTTTCATAAAATGTGCTCCAGTACTCTTTTACAGACAACAGCCAGCCGAAGCTCTCTGCTGAGCAGTGAAGACGATGCTGTGTCTCATTTGACTCTGCGCACCACTTTTATATAGTTGCTCTCAGGGTTGATTCTGGATTTTTTCACTGCATGACAGTACAGGATTGTAGATATGCAGACTGTCAGTAAAATGAAGGATGTGACAATGCTGACACAAATTCCAAAGACCGTCAGCGGACGCTTGCTTAGGCCCATGAAGTATGAAATAATTCGACCTTTGATCTGTAAAGCACGATACACAACACAGAAACAGAACCAAAAACATTGAGTCATCATGAATATGACAGAATGAGTGCATGGTAAAAAATATAAAAAGAGAATTATGAATTGATACTGAAAACGTTAACGTATTTGTAGAGTAAAATGTAAAAAATATGATTTTAAACGATCAGGCACATCAATGAAGCACACATTAATCAGATCAAGTAAAAAAAAAATTTTCTTTTCTTTTTTTTTTTTTTTTTTTTTAAGTGTTGATGTCTCATGTCTAATTCAACAGGCTAAATAAAAGGTTGGGTTCCAGCTTTTCATATTAGTTTGTCATGGGGATACGCCTCCAAAAGAGGTAAACAAGATTTCCTATATTGTAAATGAGGAGCTGAACCTGAAGCCTTGAATACAGCTTTATATCGAAGGCCCCAAAACTATCACAAACTGATCCTACACACATGTGGGCTGCCCAAAATGCTTTCAACTCTGTTCTTGTCCAAAAGGTTATCAATGAATTAGAATATTATGAAGTAATACTAAAATAATACATTTTAAGGTGATAAAAAAATCCCTGTCCCATTCTTTTCATCCACCAACGGGCAACCTGTTTTATCCTTCAAAGAAGCTGAGGCAGGTGAATGGATGAAGGCATGCTGACTTCATCTACTGTAGCATGGCAGCTAAACCTATTGTCTAATAAATAAATAAATCCATCTACTGCTCAGGTGTGCAATAAGAAGCGCTGCAAGCAGGGTGCAGGTCAGAGAAAGTCTTACCGCCTCTGTGATATCAATGTTGACCACAGCGGTCGTACTGAAGGATGGGGAGCCTCGGTCCCTGGCCTCGACAACCAAAGACCACTTGCAGTCTTTCTGCTTGGTGATGTTCTGCACAATCTCCATAGATTTTATGAAGGGCTTAAGTTTGATCTCCCCAGTGTCTGCGTTGATGTCAAAAGCGTTGTCGGGATCTGCTTTCATGATGAAATACTCGATGATGTTGTTTGGAGACTCCGCATCGTCATCCACTGCCTGTACAAAGCGACAACTTATATTAGGATATCAAATACATGGCCAAATCATTTGCATTGACTCAATTATGATTCTGAGATTATGTTTTAAATGTCATCTTTACTTTTTGGTGCATTACTGAAGCAAAAATATAGCTTTGAGTCTCACTGACATATAAAGAAAATCTTGGGTGTGGCGTCCAGATTGAAGCCAGCAGGAAACATGTTGCATGCTGACATGGCTTTTCATCTATATTGCTTTTTGTTGTTTGATCATATATTGTATATGACAAAAATTTAAGATAATGAAATAAACAGATTAAATATCATGTGAGAGCTGCAGTACACAAAGTGCACACAAAATCCAAACACTAAAGGATTTATGATCAAAGACATAGAAACGGATTCTTCATTTTGACCACCAGCAAGTTAATTTTTTTACATTTCAGAAATACTTGAAAAAACAGCCACCGCAATTCAACCTCCAAAACATGTTTAATGACTCTTATGACTCTTATGAGTCTTATGACTTTAAGAAGACAAATTTTTCCCAAAACTCATCACAAATTTCACTCTGCAATGAAGAGAAGCTTGATGAAAGATTCACTTTAATATGTACTGTTTGAAAACCTTTTGTTTTCAGACAGTTGAGATGACAATGAAACAGTACGATGTACCTCTACTTTGACGGGTGATCCAATAATCATGGTCTTCTCCAGGAGTTTCTCATCAAATTCCGGAGAATGGTCATTCATATCAAGGACGGTGACGAAGACTTCTGCCAAGCTGTACTTGCCCTCAGAATCCTCAGCCTTGACGTAAAAGTTGTATTTTGATCGGACCTCTGCGTCCAGACTGGTCCAGGGCTGCGTGGAGATGAGGCCTGATGAGGGGTTGATGGTAAACCTGCAGATAAGATCAGACAATGCATGAGTCACAGCCACATTTGCCAACAGACCGGGTGTTTGGAATACATCCATGCTATTAACCACCGTAAGTGATATCTACATCACTTCCTGTGAATGTTTGCAGCAAAATGGAGGCATCCGTCATATGCTTCCATAAAGAGGATTATTAATTTGACCATGTCTTTCTTCTCGAGACAAATGGGCCATGACTGCTACCCGCCGCCCCCCATTTTATGACTGTTCCAAGTTTCCATTTTAAACGGAAAAATGGTGCAACAATTTTAATAATCAGATAAATATCACAACATGACCTTGAACAAATACATTCAATGTTTTCTCAATGCTTCGTTGTTGAGCATTGGGCTTGCTGCCATCTTATCCAGCTGACTTTTCCGTCTCTGTGAAAATTCACAAGTGAATCTGTTAACTTTCACACAATTAATTTGAGTTTCTGCCTGCAGACAAGCATAAATTTTCACTTTTCCCCCTGCAGCCTGCTGCCTTGCTCTTCAAAGCAACCGTTTCTGAGGCTTCAGCTGTCACATTGCATGTTAATTGGCTCTGGCTATGTGAAAGGGGCCAGGCTATCTATTTTTAACCCTTCAATCCAATTAGAAGATTAGCCAGCATCTTGCAGCCATTTTGAAGAGACCTGTTTCGTGCGGCCAATCAAACCTGTTCGCCACATTCCTGTTCTATTAAAGACACAAAGATCAATCAGACGAGTGTCCTCCTGGCTGAGTTTACCAAACAGTCTTAAGTCTCACCTCAAAAATAACTTTTTAGTCTGTGAATTGTATTTGATGGGAGAAGTAAAACTGTGTCTGATGGAAGCTAAACTGGCAGGTGCTGAGGCTTTTTACTTACAAATCTGATCCCGATCCATAAATTGTGTATTTGACTATCCCCCAAGGCCCTGTGTCTGGATCATTTGCCTAAAAAAAAAAAACAGGGCAGAGATTATATGCAAAATACTGTCAATGCTTCTGTTAGTGTTTGATAAATGTACATAGATTTACAAAATTACACGAAGACATTACAGAAATATGTGCATAGTTGTTGTTTTTATTGCTGTTTTTGTCACTAGAGCTGGCAGTGAATAACCAACTTAGGTCTTAAGCTTTTGTATGGAGTTTTGAGAGGGGATATAAGGATAGATCACCTTGATTAAACTGTGTAATGAAGTAAACATAGCAGGTAGATTATTGCTGTGTGTGTAATGGAGGCATGCTTTCATCTAATGAACTTCACTTAACAAAATGTATCTATTGAGGAGTTGATTAATCAAATAACCACTCTGTATGTGTTGAAGCTGAGCTTTGTCCTGGCTGACTCACTTTTACAGAAACAACACTGGAGCCTCCCGGGGAATTCTCGGGCACCCTGGCGATGTAATACTCTGATGTAAACGTGGGGATGTTGTCATTTGTGTCCAGCAGGTTGATCACTATGTCGGCCGTAGCGCTGAACCGCTCAGGGGTGTCAATCTCAACTGCCAGCAGCTGCAGAGAGACACAAACAAAGCGACAGGAATAGAACCGAAATGTTCAGCCGATTACTCAGTTAATTAGAGTAAGCCAATCTCATAATAAAACACAATTGGTAAGAATCTAAAAAAAGAGCAGCCACTTGAACTAAGCTTAAACAATTAATTGTGAACTGCATTTAGCCATTCAGATTATTGTGTTTACATTTTGATATTTGAAAACATACATAGAAAGCTCACTCGAGGATAACTGGGACCGGTTGGCATATAAAGACTTCAGGAATGTTTATTTTGATCAAGCAAAGTTTTGCATTGAGGGTTTACCCTGTTAGCGAGCCCAAATACAACCCGTGCATCTTGATTCTATATAAATAATTAATCATACAAAAAAAGCTAATTAAGATATTATATTGCAGAGATTAAGTTTTACCACTGCCCATTTCTTTGACATACACCATTAGCAACCAGTTTTTACCTTAAAAGAAAGGGTTGATCCCTTTTCATAGTCGATGCCAGATGTGTCCTCCACAATGATGGTCACTTGAGCTTCATTCAGGACTGTCTGGGGAACCACTCGAAGCACTCGGTTGGGCCCCACCAGTCTGAGCTTAAATTTAGCGTTAGCTCCCTGTAAACAGGTGGACATTCAGAAAGAATAAATTTAGCCGCCAACATAAATGCCTGAGTTTCAGAAATATTAGTAAATTTGGTTTATATTGCCAGATGTTGAGAAAAAAATATGATAGCAAAACACTGCTATAAGTACAAGTCCATTGTTTATATATCAGCATGTATTTTATGGTATTTATGGTACTTTAAGATGAGTAAAGAAAAAAAACATTCACCACTGATAATCAATTAAATGTGGGTTTAATTTCGGGAGTATATTCACCTGATCAGAATCATTGACAGTGATCTTAAAGCCTCGGAGGATTTCCCCTGCTGGTGGATGCTCATACATTGTCACTTCAAATTTGCTTTGAGGTCCATTTTCTCCATAAAAAGTAGGAGGATGGTTGTTGAGATCCACCACTCGGACTGTTACTGTTGTAATGTCATAGTCCAGCATTTGGTCATATGGCCCAACCTCTGATGCCTGCATTGAAACATTACACTGATCAGCACATAGAGCAACATTTTTTAACCGTAATTAAATGAATTCCCAGTGAGAATGTATAAGAAGATGAACAGATGAAGAGTACCTTGACTTTAATTTCATAGAGTTCATTTCTCAGCAGAGATGGGTGCGTTGTCAGAGTGATGCATCCACTGGTGCTATTTATGTCAAAAACACCATCGCTGCCTGCAGGATGGAGACAGAAAGATTATGTATGAAATTGGATAATGTTGTTAAAATAACCGCCAAATATGTATTTTTCAAGTTAGCTTTTCGATTGTTATTTTCCTCGTCTTTACCATTCATAATGGAATAATGGATAGGGTTGGGATTGCCTTGATCGCCGTCTTTGGCATACACTGTGTATATTTCAGAACCCTAGAAATTAAATAAAACATAGTTGTATCGTATGTCAACAAAAGTAACAATGTTACATCAGTGCTCGGAGAAAAATGAGGTCTTACAGGAACTGAGACTTCATAGATGTAACCAAAGTATGGCGTTCCAACAAATGATGGAGGCATGTCTTGAGCATCAAGGATATTGATGGTGACCGTCGCTGTGGCGGTCAACACCTGGTGTTTTCCCTTGTACTTTCCTCCTCCATCCTGGAAAAACAAATGTCAGGAAGCAAACTTAAAACACTTTAATTAAAAAATGCATTCAAAATTACACCTGGTTAAATGGGTTTAAAATGTAAAAGAAAAAATACTTTCATGCTTGTAAACAAATAGCTGTCATGAATGAAAAAAAAGAGGCAAGCAGAATCAAACCAATCAATTAAGGACGTCCACTTTTGCTTGGATCTACAACTAAATTGTGTTGTGTAGGGTTTAAAACATTTACAGAAGCAGAAACAAACCAAGGTTTTGTCCCCAGGATAAAATATAAAAGGAATTATATGTTAAAATATTTTTTATTTTAACAAAACTATTGAGGTCATCTCCAACTGAATAACTCAACAAAGTTGGGGCAGGATGAAAACACACTGAAAAAAGCTGTAGCACTGTAGAGCTCAACTACTTAGGTTAAAACACTCTATTCGAATGATTGAGCAAGTCCTTTACTCTGTTCTTAGATAAGGGATGATCAAATTTGTACCTCAGGGGCTGCTGTCCAGCAGTATTAGATGTCTCCCTGACTGAACACACATTTTTCAGTCTAAAAGGATCTCTTCTCTTTATGTGACCCTCTTTCAATGGTTCAGAGAAAATGCAAATGTCTTACATGAAATAGTTTGATGAATCAGGTGAAAACAGTAGATACCGTCAATCAAAGAAAATCCCACTAAAGTATTTAGGTTGCAACCGTGACATGAATTGTTTGAACTGTCAAATTCTAATGAAAGTAGCCTCTGACCTTTTGATTTTTTTTTGTTGTGACAATTGCTTCTGGCTGCCACATGTAGGGGGTGTCCACAGTGACGGTGACTGTTTCCATAAAGTTGACAATTCTTAGGTAAAACCCATATAACTTTTGTTTTGCTTTAGTTCCCATTTGTAGAAGGATAATTTACATAGATAATTACATTTTTTGAGTCGCTAATTTATCTAATCAGCATGAAATAACTGGAAAATTGTGCAAAGTAAAGCAATTTTTTTAATGCATTTAAAATAGTGAACGAACTGGTTCTAAAACCAATTCTTTTTGCAATTGTGTGCCGATGCCATGCACCATTTTACACTAAAGCTACCTAAAAGAAGTCTGATATGGCATCGGCCACACTTACTCTGAATGCTGAAAAAAGGTGAAAACAAGCATTCGCAATCTAACTTTTACTCCAAGTGATAGGAGCACTGGGAGCAACACTTTTCAACACTTCACCAGTGCAGCTCATTAAAAACTTGGCAGCCTGAAACAGCTGCACAGCTTTCGAGGTGTGCCAGAATAAACATGTAAAAAACAACACTAAGTGAGAGGTTTTTGAGGGCATACTGCTGGGATTTCTGTATGTATATATTTTCTCCATTAAAATAAAAACATAAAGCTAATATCATTCACGTTTGAGACTCTGTAGGTTTGCATCTAAATGCACAAACCGCCTAAAATATATGGCTCAGGGGACGCAAGAATCTCAAAACTGGTGGCACTCCTAAGAATGGTGACGTCTCACCTTTGCAACCACAGTCACAAAATGTGTTGCTGTGGTCTCGTAGTCCAAAGTCTCGCCGGGTTTCACTCTGAGAATCCCACTGTGTCCATCAATGGTGAACTTGGCAAGTGCAGAATTCTAATGGAACAAAACGTCAATCATTTAGAAAGACAAAAAACAGTCATGAGCAATCCAGCTAATTTCACATCAACCTCATAGTGCTCATAGTTTTTCCCTACAGTCGATGCATCAGCAGCAGAACTCCTGCGCTGTCAGCTGTTGCCCTTTACCAAACCTAAGCTCTTATTAAGCCGTCAATGCCTTGCTCAAATGTAATTTAAATTTAATCTACTAAAGTAACACCATTTCCAGACTGCTATCTGGCATGCGATTAATCTTTCCCTTCATGTGCTGCCCTATCACTCGAATGCCCTTCTCCTCCCTCCACATGGCAGATCAGCTCCCAGGGTGTCAGTTTGACCTAGGGTCTTTGTTAGTTTCCCATCAAACCAGCTGAAATCATCACAATGAGGGTTACAGTGAATCTAAATAGAACATGTTTCTAACTGAAATGGACTGTGAACAAATGGGAAAGGCTAAAAAAGCAATAAAAAGGGAATTGCAGAGAGGAATGGTAACGGTGGGGATAAACCTGTAGGCAGATTTCAGAATAGGGTTCCAGGGTGTGAGAGGTAAGAGGCCAAAGCCATGAAGATCTCATAAGTGATTAGTCAACACTGACACTTAACTCTGAATTAAACTGAATGACATGTGCACCTAGGCTGAAAAAGCTTTGGCCATTTGAGCCTTGGTGAACTCAGGTCGGTTTTTCTCAACACGTGCTGCATCGAAATCCTCGTTGCAGCCTCTTGAAAGAATAAAGACAGAATAGACAGCTCAGCTGAAAGAATGTTTACAATTTGAGTATTTGTTTCCCGATAGATTACGCATTTACGCAACATTTCTCTTGAGCTTCCACATCCACACTTTGAGCGATGTGAACTCGACAACTGTGTGGCTAAAACAAACCTCCCATGTTTCTCATAGCCACGGGCGGCATAATCTGTATTCATTTGCACAGGCTCGTGAGGAAAGTAGTTGACTGTCAGGTTCACGGCTGTGCATCATGTGAATTACAAACGAAGCTGTAAAATCACCTGAAGGTAATATGAAACACTGCCTCCTGAACCCAGATCTTTGTCCACCGCGTGGACTCTGTAGATGCTGCTTCCTGGGGCTGTGTCCTGGTAAAGAGATGATATTCGATCATGTTAAACACCGCTTTAATATCAGTTATAATACCGTTTTTGACTCAAATGTGAGACAGAATGTGTGTTGTTAAGCATGATTTTCAAAAAAATGTAATACTGCACCTCTGGAATATCAATGATAAAAGGCAGGTTTTGAAACTCAGGTGGCTCGTCGTTTGCGTCCGTTACAAACACTCTGACAGTCTCAACAACCTGACAAGAAAGCCAAAGGCATGCATCAAATGTCAGTGATTTGAGGCCTACTCTCTTGTTGAGAGATAACTGAATGGCAAAGTGATCGTAAAGTAGCGTTATTATTTGGGGTATTTTGTGAAGCCCAGATTTTAAGCATTAGAAATGTGTAAGACTTCACCGGTCAAATAGGTTTCTTCTGTTTTTATGCAGCAGATGTCTTACAGTTCATACAGTAAGGAGTGCCTTTTGTTTAACATTCTATTTTTAAATCCACAGTAATATAATGATGAAGAGTGATTTTAGAATAATCTATCATAAAACAAACAATTAAACAAGAAATACATTAATATTATATTATTGTCAGGAAAAATATACCTTATTGCATCCATCTGTTATGCTCACAAGCACAGAGATTTCATCTTGTTTCTATAAGAGGAAGATCATCATTGTCACTTTTGGCTTAAATGTTGTTTTTCTTTCAGATCAAGAGTCCAAAAGGCTCACCTCTCTGTCAAGTTCCTGAATCAGAGTCACGTTTCCTGATTTGGGTTCCACTCGGAAATATTCTGCGGAGCCCTTTTCAAAAGTGAGACCGAATCGTACCGGATCCCCCTCAGGATCTGTACCATTCAAGATGTAGAACTGTGTTCCTGTTAGGAACAACCCACAATGAGAAATGTGAAGAGTCAAATGTAACAAAAACGTGGTACGTACAAAAAAAAGAATCTGTCTCTGTATCCCCAGTGCTCAATATGTTCAGTAGTTAATGTGGATGAGCCACCGCCCACAATATTTTATTCCCATAGTCTTGACGCACGTCACAATCCTGAAGGTATTACGATGATAAGCTTGATCCTCAATACAGGTGTGACAATTTCACACTTTGGCTGGTAATGTTTACACCTTTAAATATGATTAACGTGCACCTAAAAGAGCACCAGGCTTATGGTAGAAATAAAGTGTGAATCATACCAACTGGTGTATCCTCAGAGATACTGAATAAAGCCATATTTCCACTCGTGCTGCTGGGGCCATTGTCATAAAAATATGGAGCGTAGTCGGATTGTCCTTCATGGAAGAAAGAAAAACCCAATGTCATGAGTTATTTGAGCTGAAGTCAAACATTGAGACAAATAACCAAATGTGGGAAAGCAGTGGGTTAACATGTGTGAAACCAGCCATGGTCAAATGGACCATGAGTCTCTTTACTCATTCTTTTCTACTCCTAAAAAAACTTTTTTATCATTCAATTTTAACTCGAGACTGTTCAATGACTTGCTAAACAGCAGGAAAAGAAAGCAGGGACACAGGAAACAAATGAGATAAAGTAAAAAAACAACAACATTTGGATTAAATGCTAAAATTCAAGCAAAAACATATTTGCACATTGAATCAAATTAAGTACACGAAGCATGAACAGAATACTCTACGATGGATCTGTGTGTTAGAGGATTAGTAGATTAGAAAGAGCCAAGAAGTCTTAACCACATGCAACAAAGGAAAACAAAGGACAAACAGGACCCTACCCAAGCTGTAGTGAAGCAGGAGGAGAAAGAGTAAAGCATGCGGTTTCTTGTCTTTCTTCATCCTGGTGCAGAGGTAAGGCTTGGCCGGCTCATGTGGAAGGCTTGGTGGAGGGGAATCGAGCGGCAAGTCTTGTGCCCTTCTGGAGGCGTCTCAGCAGGCTCAAGATGAGGCAGGGACAGATTCTCAGGCACTAATCCAGTGACGCATCCCTTCCCTCCGCAGACATCTTCTGCCACAGCGCTCGCATCCCAGTCTCTCCCGGAAAGCCAAACACAGAGCGCAGGCTTCACACTTTGTGGTGCGATCATCACACCTCAGCACTCATGTGACAGTGTGTACATGAGGCTCTGCATCCACGATTACTGAAAACCGAGCAATGCTGTAGTGCTTAAAATGAAATACTTTCAGCACTGCATTCAGTTTACACACTGAAAACACTTCAAGAGCAGGTTTCGGGTTTGTCTGTATTGCTTAATTTCGAAACAAGCTGTATTTGGCTTTTTCTCATGCTTCAATGAGTTTTAACAAACTCCTTGGCTACATTTAGTGGACCAAAGTGGTTAAGCTCAAAATGGACTCTCTCCTTGGCAGATCACTAGCCAAGACAAGCCTGAGTGGGAATCACTGATGGACTTATAGCCAAGAGGCTTTCACTGGTATTTGCAATTTACTTTCCCCACTGACCTGTAAGTCAAGAAGCCCCAAGACAAAAAAACATGTGGGCAGTTGATGTCAACAGCACTTGTTTAAAGTGTATTTAAAGAAACTGCACATCCTGAAACATAAGATGTTCTCCTGGTATGACTCACCCGTAGCTTAAGCAGATCAAAAACACCACTCAGCTATGAAAAATACATAGATATAACAAAGTGACACTCTGGGAGTGCGATGCCTGTGATCTGTTAAAATCTTGATGACGCCAGTAGAGCATCGTAGCTTTTATTTTTGGACATCATTTCCACTTTGTCCGTGCAAGAGATTTTGCACCTTCTCTATTTCTTAAATGCAGATGAGTGCACACGCAGGTGTCATGCGAGTGCACGTTTTTCTGACGTTTGGGTGAAATGTGTCAGCGGTACTGACTCATGTTGTGCCTCCTGTATTCACAACTGTATAAATAGTCTTTGGCAAAAAATATTACATACTTTAGGAAAAAAGACTATGATATAAGAAAATGAAGAACATACATGCAGATCAGAGGATCAACCAGCATACAGACATAGAGCAGAATATGTTCTTTTTCAGTGTAATAATCCTAAATATATCATCCATCAGTAGTCAGTTTGCTGAGTGCCTGCAATATTGTAATATTAGAGTCCACTAAGTTGACTCAATCCACTTTCATAGTCATAATCGACATCAAATTTTTCGTCTGAAATGATTTATTCCTAGTTAAATAAATGTACCGAACAAAAAACAAATGAATCTAAATATGCAAGAACAGATGGACATTACAGCACATTTAGGTCAGTGAAACAAAAGCAATAAAATGTGGTAAAAAGGTGAAATGACCAGATAAGTCATTCTGCACCAGGTTCTCTGTAAGCAGATGACCGGATGTCTGTGTTACCCATTTGTACATATTGGAAAGCTTGATATAACCCCGGCAGTGAGCAGAACAGGTGGCTGTGTTGTGCTGTCAGGGTGTTTTTTGGGGGCAACAACACAGATGACTCTTCACTCTGAGCACCCATTCATGTGGACAACGAAGAGGCTTCTTCCAGTTCCCCAACGGCTGCCGTAGTTCAGCAGCCACCGATGCTTTTAGCCACAGGTCAAACCATAAAATCTGCCTTTTTTTTGCACACTGAGAACCGTCAGCAAAGCTTTACCAGGGAAACTAAGCAGTGCAAAGTAAAAAGGATCGGGTCTAATTGGATTTTTGGTGACTATTTAGTTTGAGGGGGCTATGCATTATCTACCCAGTTTTGAAACTCGTGGAACTGTACAGGCTAGTTATTATCCAAGCCCCCATCAGAATTTAAAAGATAATTTTCTCCACTTTCTTTCAGATTCTCATCATAGCTGTCAGTTATCTCCTGATGCGTCATTGTGTTGTGTGTGTGGCTCATGTGCATTAGACGTGACACATAAATTAAATTATGGCTCACGAGGCCACTTGTATTCCTGCAAGCAATTTCTTTCCATGTCTCTTTAGTTATTGCTCTTTTGCTCCCACTTTTAGGGCATTTTTGTACACAGTTTGTGAAGCACATATGTCAGATCACTCACATGATCGGAATCTGCTCGGCAGCTGTGCGCTCCACGTGCACACGCCTTGTCCAAACACCTGCATATTTACAGATGTTAGCATCTGCTGCAAGTGCCCTGGTTTGAAGGTTTAATTTTAGAGGAGGAGCCAGATGGTGGACAAGAGGATTACTACGCTAAGCCTTTGTCATCTGCTGCTACACACTGACCGTTTATGGGGAAGTGGGCAGCAGCACGCACCCCCCGCTGGTCCCTCAGTCTGGTCAGAACGGCTAAGAATGTGGATAACAAATATTAAAACATGTAAGTAGTTACCTATCAGATTACTTCGGGGCAGGCAGCAGGGCTTTAAGGACTAAACCCCTTTGCACAACAGATCCCTACAATTAGCGTTTATTAGGGTTGGTCTTGCCCGACACTGAACCTCTTTCTATGTAAGAAATCTAAGTAGCAGGCATCCCTTCTTTCCAGTGAATGAAATTCTTCAAATGCAGCTATGGCGCTACAGTTGTAAAAAAAAGAAAATGAAAAAAAAACATATTTACAAACACCTTTATTTCTCATCTGACAGAGCTTGTGCAATACAGCAGCATTTTGTAACATTTGACTGTTGAGAGGCAGAGAATTTTTGGTGATAAAGTCTGCATGAAGCATCATGTCAGTTAACCATGTGTACAACTTAAATTAGGACACACAAAAAAAAAACCTTCAACTTTCTCCTCATTTATTGATTGATTCCTTTGTTTGAATTACTGCATTATATGGAAATATACAGAAATATATTTATCATTCGTCAGATCTTCATCCCGATACATAAGTAAAATAACTGAATTGAAGCAGGTAAATACAGCTTTGTTTGTTCTGTGAATGAAGAGCATTCAGCAGTTGGTGTACGTATGGTGAGTTTCTGTAAATCTAATTTTGAACTTTTTTTCCAGAAAAAATAAATAGAAAACAATAATTATACAAACGGGATCTGACGCAGGTAACTGGACAATGACAGACTATGTGACGCCCCCTCAGGATGGACGACAAACCTCAAAAATGTTCTGAAAGCTCCCTCTCAGTGTGTTATCAGTGTAGTCTTCTTAGGTTAGACTGGCATCATCAAAGCGCAACCCTCAACTTTCTGCACATGCAAAACATTCCCGTTCAAACTTCTACCAGTTGCATTAGTCTTGTCTGGAAAAAAGATAACGCTCTATGTACGTTGATGGGAATAAACAGGACTTTTTTTTCAGCTCTGTGGAATGAAGAACTGCGCCAGATCTCATCCTGATGTTTACTTCCTTCTGCCTGCGCCGCCATTGGACAGAATCATCACCAGCCTCATGAAAATGTTCAGTGTGTCCATGTAAATCCCCATACACCTGTAGGATTAATCCACACATGAGACAGGCATGTGACGCATAGCCCAACCAACGTCTGGAGAAAAACAAACGGGGAGTCGGAGAGAGACTTACGCATTAATTGGGTCAAATTTCTGCACACCGTAGAGTGGATAGGTCTCGGCCTTCTTGATAACCTTCTGCGTGTCGTACAGGAGGAACATGCTGAATAGAACCAGACCGCCGTACACGGCGACAGAGTACAGCCCTGCGCCGAATGCCGAGGAGGGCGGCAGAAACATGGAGCCTGAAGAGGAGACAAAGCCTTCATAAGACTAACAGCTACAGTCTGTGAGCGCTGAGCAAACATGACAGACAGTCGTTCTCATGTTGGGGAGAGACCCGTCACCGTTAATGCTCAGAAATCCAGTCACGGCAGAAATAGCTTTTAGTCACGAGTGCCAGATTTCTGTTCCCAGGTACAACCAAATTAGTCAGAATTGTGCAGGGCTACATATCAAATATGTTTTCTAATGGAAAGGGAAACAGAAGCTTTAGCCCACGCTGGACTTTAACATCCCTTTTTATACTGATAAATTAACCCAAAAAGAAAATATTTCTGTGTGATGAGTGACTGTTTCATTTGCATATATCTTTTGGTTTAACTGTGCGAAAAACACTTCCAGTGTGGTTTAGTTTTTCATACATTTGAATTCAAACAGCTGTTTTTCCTTCTTTACACCGTGAAAATGTATGTTGCTGCATGTGACGACATAAAAGAGGATTGTTAGCTGATGGTGTCAAAAACAGGAAGAACTGATTTAAAAATTAAAGTTCAAAGATAATTGTTTACCCTAGTTTACACACAAGAATCATCATAAAACAACTCTCTGTGGCACATTGTGTGTAATGCCGAGTCTCAATCCAAGAACCTTTCAAAATGTTGAAGTAAATACATGGGAATTGAGACAATCCAGACAAGGTTTAAGATCGGAAACTAGATTATACTAACCAATAGAGGAGGCAAACACCACTCCGAAGCCAACAGCCAAAGGCCCTCCCATGTTGAGGAACTTCTCACTTGGAGCACACATGGCCACAGTGGACAGCCCCCCCACAATGCCTGCAGTGTACCAGGCAGCCCTCATCATCAGAGGCCCTCCCAGGAGAGTCAGGGGAGCGATGACAGCACCCATCACACCTTATGGGAAAATAAAGCAAAAAAATAATAATTCAACTCTTGGGTTTATTAACAGATCAAACTGGTGCAAACAAGTGAACACAACAAGTAAAGGACAACAGAAATGAGTGTTTACGAGCAACACAAGACTGCCCTCTACTGTCCAGCCACTGGAACTGCACAGCAGGGTGAACGGGTGTTTGAGACGGCGCATTTGGCACCACAAACCTGCATGGAGCATCCAGGCGAGGTGTTTGGGCATCGGGCTGTGCTCATACGAAATAGACCTAACCAGCATCCCTGCACCAATCATTGCTGCAAAGGTTGCTCCGATTGCCTGGATAGAAAAAAAAAAAAACTCATATAAATAAATGTATCTTACACTAAATAAAGCAAAGACATTCACTAACCAGCAACATGATTTGTAAGCTTTCACACTGATCGGACTAACTGCAGCAATTAACCAAAAACCTGAAAAGAAACACAAACACAATTGAGTAGTAAAGCTCACCAGCCAGGATCCTCTCATCATCAGACCCATGAGTGCAGGGGTCCTGCTCACAGCCACAGCAGAGAGAGCGGTCAGTCCAACGCTGCCTGCAAAGTACATGTAGGTGGAGTGAATCCTGTCCTTCACGTACTGAGGCCAAATCCTGCAAAGATAACAAAGAGAAGGCTTTAGGATGCAAACTTTCGACTGATCCGGGATTCAAATTGAACTCCTACGAGCTGTCAATTGAAAAGCCTGTTACTCACACAGCTTTCTCGATGGCACCGATCTCATTGGACATGCCAAGTCCGTAGTAGCACAGGGCTCCAAGGCCAACGGCAGCACCTCCAGCCAGAATCATTCTCCCCATGCTGTCAACTGTTGCCAAAGCAAAAACGACATTTGGCACGCTTTGTAGTTTTAGATAACTCCAAATAATAAACCTTACCAATTCACGACCATGTGTAATAAAGAAAAACTAAAACTTTTAAAAGTTTTTTTTGTATTGGTGGATCTTTTATGGGTTTTTTTGTATTCCATATTCTTTGATTTCTTAAACATTTTTAGTCGTCATTATTGTATCTTACATTGCATTGTAAACACAGAGGATTTTTTAACTAGTTTGCTTTTCCTTTCCTGTAAAACCAAAGTCAGGCCAAGTAAGAACTACAGAGCAGAGGTGTGACACTGATTCTAAATTATTTTAACTTTTCAAAAGCTACAACCCTGACTTTTTGAAAGATGATGACTCCATGAAGTGTTAAAACATTTACTTTTGATGGCTGTATCTGTTGCTGGTTCAAAAGCTGCTTCTTTGAGCTGTTCCTTGGTGGTCTTCACACGGCGGAACCCAAATCTGGCTTTAGAGGAATAACCCTGCGGGAAAGAAAAACAAAGTTTATAGACAACAGAAATAGAGAATTTGAAAGCTGGTGTGTAGATGCTGTCAATTGTAAAGACTACTAAATGGACATTTGTGAGGATATTCTCAGACTTTTAATAATCAACTGGCAGCAGTTCTGAAAAACTAATTCACACTTCACACTTAATTAACACTGCAGAAAGTCCAAGGTCAAATAAACCACATCAAACTGAAACAGACACCACATGACTAGAAAACGTATCCACGATGCCAGTTTGGACAATTAGGAGGAGAGCAATGGACAGTAATGGATGTTGAAACAAAAAAAAGAGTGTTCTATCATATTCAAGAAAAAGTGAGTAAATCATTTTAGTGTATTTTTGCCCGGCTGGTATCAGTACAGTACCTGCTGTGGCACAAGCAGAGGGGAAGTGGTCTTCAGGGTGGGTGTTCTCAGGCCGGAGCAGCCCTTTGAGAGCACGGGACGGAGCCCGGCCAGCGGGAGGGTCCTCAGACATGTCAGCCTCGCCACCAACATGGTCACAGTATCTTATTTACTAGTATTGATCTGAAACTGAAACAAAAATTCAGGACAGAGAAGGCGTTAAGTCCAAGTAAAGTTAAGAACCACAAAGCCAAGAACAACTTCAAAGTAATGATAGTAAATAAAGCAAATGAACAGTGAGGTTGCGGCTCATCACGTTAACTCACTGTTAGCTAACGTTGATGGCAACCGCTTAACTACGTGATGAGGTTTGCTACGACTCTAAGATCTTCCGGTTTGACAGCATATACGCTAACTAAACCAATCATCGTATAAAATAGCATATCACTACAAACCTGAGGATTTAGAAATAAATACACGCTTAGTACCGAGAGCACTGGTCAATACTCACCTTTTGGGAGAAGAGTGCGCAAGTTTCTGACGCAATTGTTTTGCAACCCTCGGATAGACCTTCCTGAAAATTCTGGATTCTTTCGTCATCGTTATGCGACTGGCAAACATGGGAAATGTAGTTTGAAGTTTGTGAGCGTTTTGTAATTCTTTTTATGTGTTCGAAATGGCGAGAAATTGTGCTCATTAAGCAGAATCCAACACTCGTCAAGGAAAATGTCCCTAAAACTGGGGATAGGGTTAGTGCTGCTTTTGTACATACTTATTATGTGAAGTCATTACGGTTATATTATATTATATTATATTATATTATATTATATTATATTATATT